CTTGCCAGGCAGGCGCTGTGCCCCTGAGCTAAATCCCCAGCCCCTGGTACTGGGAATTACACTCAGGGCTTCACACTTGCCAGGCAGGCACTGTGCCACTGAGCTACATTCCCAGCGAGTTATTTTTTTTTAAATACTAACTCAACTTTTTCTAGCTTTCCTTCCACCATATAACATCCTAACTTCGAGGCCTCTGTTTCCTTCAGTGAACCCTACCTGGGTTCCCAGTTTCCCAGGCTTGGCATTGTTCACACTTATCAGGCATTGTTCACACTCATCACATAAGGTGAAGGAAGGAGGTAAGAGCATCTCTTCTGTAACGGCAAATCCAAATTGATGAAGGGAGGACATAGTTTTGTTTTGATTTTGAGACCGGGTCTCACTAAATCGCTAAATTATCCAGGCTGGGCTGTAAAGTATGATCCTCCTACCTCAGCTCTCAAAGTGCTGGGATTACAGGCCTGCACCACCACCACATCCCGTTTGGTTGCTTTTTAAAAGTATGTTTAATAATAGCCATCAAGTCCCAGCATTCAGGAGGCTGAGGCAGAAAAATCTCTGAGAGTTCAAGGCCAGCCTGGACTACATACCAAACCCTGTTTCAAAAGAAAAAAATTATTCAGCAGGTGCTTATTGAACACTTACTGTGTTCCAGGCAGTATGATGGAGAATGAAACCCAAAATCTATTGGAGTTAGGCGTGGGGCTGTGGTTCTTAACATGCCTGAGTCCTGGGGTTCAATTTGCAGTGCCCAAAGCCCTTCCCCTCCCCGCGTACTGGGAATCGAACTCATGACCTCGCGCTTGCCAGGCAGGTGCTATGCCGCTGAGCTAAATCCCCAGCCCCCAAAGCCCCTTGTTGCACACAAGTTGTGTGTTTGCCATCAAAGGAGAGCAGAGAACGGTAGGAGGGCATTCTGGTTTAGAGCAGACTTTAGAGTGACCTTTCCGGGGAGACCCCGGAATGGGGACACCTGGAGGGTGAGGAGCTGGCTAAAAGGAAATCTCACCCAGAAGAGAGGACCGGAAGTGAAAGTCGCCCAGGCGCAGAGGTTGCGGCAAGGGATGGCTCAGAGGCAAAAGTGTAAAGCACGTGTTTTACCCAAAGCGCAAGTGGTTTCAATAGGCCTCCTTCGACTTTTTTTGTCTTGTTGAGACAATCGCTCTGCCTCAGCCTCCCAAGTGCTGAGATTTCTTTTTTTTTTTTTTTTTTTTTTTTTTTTGGACAAATCGGACTAATTGTGACAAAACGCTGGTTATCTCTGGAAAAACAATTAAATCCCTTCGATTACAGTTAAGGGGAAATGTGCTTAGCGGCGGAAAGCGGCCGGTAATGGGGCGGCCCGCGCCCCCGGTCCGGTCGATATCCCATTACGGCGCATGCATATCTCTTTCAAGCACCTTGCAAACTCCCCCCGAACATCTAAATTATAGGGTCAAAATTCGGATAATTACTCGATTAAAACCTATTACACTTATTAGGGGCCGCTATTGATCGAGAATTGCATTCGACCGGCTCCTGATTGCTTTTCGTGGCCCCTCCCCCGACCCTGCCTCCTCCAACTTCGCGGCTGTGCGCCTGAGCACGCCGGGCCACCGTGCCCGTGGCTCTTGTACGGGACCGAGGGCGGCACCTGCACTGGGCTTCTTGCTGGGAGCTGAGACCCAGGGCAAACCTTGGCTGCAGGGAAACCCCAGCTCTCCACCGAGGAGCTTTTGGAACCTCCGCTGTTCACTTGTTGGGGAACTCAACACCCGGACCGCTGCGGCTGTGTGGGGAGGGAGCGGGCTCAGCAGTGCGGGGGAGCGGGCTCAGCAGTGCGGGGAAGCGGGAGGGGACGGCCTGCAGCCACCGGAGCAGCCCCTAGGACTGCCAGGGCCTGAGAGCTTGGGACCAGGACACCCGCCCATCTCCATGCACCCTGCACCAGTTGCCCCAGGAGCCTCCTGGGGGGTGAATTTATGTCTCCTGAGTGGGAATCTAAGTGCCAGCCTGAGAGCCAGGCCTTGGCCCCTCTTGAGCAGCTGCTTGCTCCTCTGGGGTGTTAGGACCACCTGTGGGGTGAGGGCATAGCGGACCCTCAAAGCACTGCCCAGGAGAGAGGCATTCTCCCAAATCTCAGACCCCCCAAGTGTAAGCACAGCCAGCATTGGTGCAGGAGGTCGGGTTGGGCCTCCCAGTCAGGCCAAGCAAGGGCAGGGACAGGTGTGGAAGAGCAGCGCTGGGGACGGCTCCATGCCCGCTGAGGTAGGCATGGCCAGGACGGCTGATCAGGGTGCCTCCACTGGCCAGTCCCCAACCCTGGGCTAGGGCCCTCGGACTGCTTAAATGCCCGGCACTTGGCTGGCCCTTTGCCTGGTATAATTGGAGGGTAATATACGCCAAAATAAATTAAATGGCCTTTAACTAGTTTGTACGTTACACAAAATGAGTTTAATTAAGTTTGTATCTGCCCCAGGATCGATCCAGCCATGTGCTGCTAGTGCCACATCCCTGGGCTGGGGCGGCGGCAGTCAGGGTGGGAGAGGGTCCTTGGCCGGCGGGCAGAGCAACCCTGGGGTGGAGGGTAAGAAGACTCGGGGACCAGGGGAGGCTACAAGGGGAGCAGAAGCGCCCTGGGGAGGCGCGGGGTGAGCTGACCGCCTCTCTGTCCCAGTCCCCGCAGGTTCTAGTGACCCCTACAAGGCAGATGAGGCCGAGGCCAACGGCTACAGCAGCAGCGGCCACAGTCCGAGTGCGGACAGCGGGGATGAGGCGCCTGATGAGGAGGCCGAGGATGCCTTGAGGGGAGGTGGCGGCCATGCGGCCCGCGGGTCGGGCTGCTCTGGAGCGGCAGAGACAGAGGCAGCCGCTGGCGCCGTCGGAGAGGCTTCAGTTCCCGCGCCCCGTGGGACCTCACCTGGAGCCCCAGGCACACCGGGAGCATCGACTGCGACAGCAGCGTCGACAGCGGGTGGCACAGGGACGGGCCAGCAGGTCACAGCAGCCAAACCTAAGCGGAAGCGCACAGGCTCCGACTCCAAGTCAGGGAAGCCCAGACGTGCGCGCACCGCCTTCACCTACGAGCAGCTCGTGGCGCTGGAGAACAAGTTCAAGGCCACGCGCTACCTGTCGGTGTGTGAGCGCCTCAACCTGGCGCTGTCGCTCAGCCTCACCGAGACGCAGGTGAAGATCTGGTTCCAGAACCGCCGGACCAAGTGGAAGAAGCAGAACCCGGGGGCCGACACCAGCGCACCCACGGGTGGTGGCGGGGGTGCCGGGCCTGGCGCGGGGCCGGGCACGGGGCTGCCGGGCGGGCTCAGCCCACTCAGCCCGTCGCCACCACTGGGTGCGCCGCTTGCCATGCATGGCCCCGCGGGGTACCCAGCGCATGGCCCTGGTGGGCTGGTGTGCACTGCGCAGCTGCCCTTCCTGTCTGGCCCGGCTGTGCTGTCCCCTTTTGTGCTGGGCTCGCAGACCTACGGCACACCCGCCTTCTACGCACCGCACCTCTGAGCCAGCAGGGGCCAGCACACGGCACCGGAACGCAGGGTGGGAAGAGCCAGGCGCTTAACCACATATCCTGCGGATCAGTGGGCGCCCTGCGTGCAGCCGGACCCGAGGAAGCGTTTCATTTCTAAAGGACTGAAGGACTGTGCGCGGCTGGGCCACTGGAGCACTGTGCCGAATCTCACTCAATAAACCCAGGAGGCTGCACCCTGGTCTCACAGGTCTCTCGCCGCTGCCGCCCCTCTGCTCCTTGGGTGGGGACCAAAGCGCTGGGTCAGGACCGCTCTGCCCCGCCCCCTCCTGCTAAACTTCGCCTGGGGCGGGGCTTCTTGTGTCTCCACTGCCTGCTCTGAGCGCCGGCTGCACCTTGGCGGCTGGTGACGGTGCCTCTGCTGGCACCTCCGCAGGAGCAGACGCTGGCCTGTGGAGCCCACACAGCGCCGTAGTGGAGGACTCCGAGGCGGGGCTACTGTCTCCAGCGAGCGGCACGGCACGGCTTGGCACGGCCCGGTCCCCACGCAGGCTCCTGCTCTGGTGTGCCGGCTCGTTCTCAGCCGCACTTGCGCTCCATGGCAGCACTGATGCGGGGCAGGTGCCCCAGATGTGGAAGGGCTGAGCCAGAGGGGTCGGGGTGGCCCTGGCCAGTGCCCCTTCCTCTGCCTGGTGCTGGCCAGTGGCCGGAGCATCACCCAAGCTGTGTGCTGCTCTCTTCCCGGCGGCCCCCCAGCTGCTACCAGCAAGCTGACTCCTTGAGGACTCGCCCCCGGGCACCCTTCCTGTCACCACTGGGGGAAGGGCAGGGCTTGGGGATGGGTGGCAGTGATCCCCCAGGCCTCAGGCAAGAGTGGAGTGGCCTCATACTGGCACTGCCACTGGCAGCGGGTGACGGGCAGGCAGGGAGGGGTCACCTTCCACGCTGCCCCCTGCGCCTTCCTGCGTCTATGCTCTGGTCTCCCAAGGTACAGCTACTTGCTAACAGCCCTGGGGTGGGAGAGGGGCCAGGTTGTGGGTGGTGACCAGGGAGCGCCCAGCCCGAGGATGGCAGGATTGGGCCCAATGTGACCACCGGTGCAGGTGGGGAAGTGCCTGGCCTTGTGTCGAGGCCTGAGCCTCCGGAGTGCAGGTGGCTGACACGAGCCCATGTCACGGAATCCCTGGCTTTTCCTCAGAGCCTCCCAGCACCCTCAGGACCTGCCAGGCACCCCAGGACTTCCTAGCCCTGGAGGAGATGATGGAAGTGGCCAGGCAGAGCCCAGTGGCCCTTCCTGCCCCACCCCACCCCACCCCACGGAGGGCTGGACACCGTGGCTACATGCAGGTGCCAGGCAGGGGTCAGACTCAGGGACACAGAATGGTGCCCATGTCCTGCTGGCCTTACCCTCCAAGCTGCTCTCACCAGCCCAGGAGGTCAGCCCCAGCCAGCTGTGCCAGGTTACTGTGTGGACCCTAGGCTGTAGGACATGAGGGTGTGGGTCAGGGGCCTCGAGGCCCGGAAAGCGGCTATGACCGCTCAGCCGCAGTGGCCCGGGCTCTGCCAGTCTCTGGGTGCCACTTGTGTGAGCCGGGTCGGGCCGGGGACAGAATAGACCTGGCTGCCTGCCTGGGCCTCCTTGGAGCCCTGAGGTGACCGAGCTGTGGCTATCCTCACATCTCGTGGGGAAACTGAGGCCTGGCAGCTCTGGGTCCTGCTCCCTCCTGGAGGAACTGGCCAGACCCAGCGCAGCTCCCCCGGTGTCGGGGTTGTCCCTCCCTCTGCCCAGGCTGCAGCCTGGTCTGGGCTCCCTAGGCCTGTCCAGCGTGGGGCCACGGCCTGTGTCCCCCAGGATGCGCGCCCTCACTTCCTCTAGGGCCCAGAAGCAGCCCTGCCTGGCAGCTGCGGGCGGGGCGCACCAGCAAACAGACGGGCCTTCCGGAGTGCTGGCCACATGACCCAGACTTCTTGCCAGCACACAGCGCTGCACCCCGAGCTGTGGGTTGGAGTCTGTAAGAGAAACCCAAATGAACAGGTGTAAAAGGAGACTTTATTTCCTTGCTTAAGGGAACCTGGCCAGTGGCAGCCCTAGGCTGGGTCACACTTGTCTTCAGACACCCAGGTCCTTGCTGCACCGAGCTGGGGCTGGGCCTCCATCCTCACAAACCCAGGTGGCAGCAGAGGCTCCAACCACTGCACCTCAGCCCACACTGCACACGGGGAACAGCAGGGCAATTCCCCAGAGCCCCACGCAGAAGCAAGGCTGGGTCACACAGCCACAGCTGGCAAGGGAGACTGGGGAGGAGGAGGGGCTCCCCCCTGCAGGGGAAGCCTACGGCTTGGCCTGCGGGTTGCTCAGTGCCCCCTGCTGGACAGCATTCTCGCTTAGTGTCTCGCCCTGGGAACGCCCAGCCTGTCCACACTGCACTTGCTGTGCTCCCCTTCGGGCCACCCTGCCCCCTAGAGCCCTGTGCACCACCTGTGGGGGTGCTAGGTAGCTCGGCTGCTGTGGTGTCCCCAGGGACCCAGCCCTTCCAGACTGCCCACCATGCCCCAGCCCCACAAAGGGCCCCATGACACCACCCTGTGCCCAGCTGTCCTGGACACCGGCCCCTCCCTGAGCTCCAGGGGTCTCCTCAATTGGCAGCTGCCTCAAAGCACCTGGGGCTGGACACCACCCTGGCACACCCTTCCCAGGGCCACCCCATGCCCATGGCCCAGGCCTCTCCAGTCCCACACCTTGCTGACAAGCTCTCAGTGCCCACCCCCACTTCTTCCTGGACAGCTGCACAGCTCCAGGGAAACAGGGTGCATCACAGCTGGGCACCAACTGCTTCTTAGGACCTGAGAGTAGGTTCTGGGCATGGGCATGTGAGCAGGGGCATTGGGGGAGAAGGGTTCCAGGAAGTCATGGGGACACATGGGGAATATCCTGGCAGGCAGATGCACACCCCTCTGCCTGTGGATCTGTGAAGGCTGGAGCCCCAGCAGCTACCTTGGGATGTAAGGTAGCCTGGAGGATAGAGGCTTTGATGTTGAGCCAGAAACTGGGAAGAGGCAGGGTCCTGATGGTGCCACGCAGCCTCTCCACAGCGTGGACACCTTTGCGAGGGACAACAGCACAGCAATAGCCTGGGTTTACAGCACACTGCTGGTTTTTAGTTCTATGGAATGAACCCGAACTCTGACAACCCATTCCCACAAGGGTGGTCTACTCAAGCACTGAGGCTGTGGCTCATGCCCTGTCCACTCTGCTGCTAGCCGTGTCATGCTGACAACCAGTGGACACCCCCAGGCCCACTAGGCTGGGCCAACCCTGCCCACTGCCCAGGGACACCCACAGTCCCTGCCTCTGTGCCACCGCAAGCACTGGCCTGAGGCTGCACCCTTGCAGCCCACCCTACCAGCCGTAGCTGGGCCCAAGCACGCATGCGGAGGCCGGCTGGCCTGTCCCCAGGGGCACCTCCTCTGCAGCCCAGCTTCCTGCCAGAGTCTAACCCTGGGGAAGCCCTCAGCACTGGCCTTGTGCGGTGCGGCCCCCACCCCCACTGGCACTGCTCGCTCGGTGACACAGCTCCTTCAAAGCCCTGGGATGCCGGAGACAAGCACAAACAGCACCAGGGAGACCCGACCGGGGCCTCGTGTCCACAACCCCCTCTCCCAGTTCCTCGCACACTCCACCTTGACCCGGACCGACAGGCGGCACGAGGCCTCTCTGGCCTGGAAACACATCCCAACGCGGTGGCACCGCCAGGCCTGGGACACAACACGCTCAGACGAGCAGGTGAGGGACTCCAGTCCGCAGAGCTGTGGTCTAAGATGGTGCGGGGACACTGACGCCTATTCGAAGTAAGACTCTGGACTTCCCGGCTCTCATTTTATAGATCAATAATCTCAGTGTGAAAATGAACCTAACAAATAGTAGAAGAGCCAGGCGTGGTGGCGCACACCTGTTATCCCAGCACTCGGGAGGCCGAGGCACGAGGATCGTTGCAAGTTCGAGACCAGCCTGGGCTACAAAGTGAGCTCAAGGCCAGCCTGACTGCACAGCGAGACCCTGTCTCAAAAAGACCCCCCCCCCCCCCGCAAAAAAAGAAGAAAACACAGGAGGATTTTAAAATACACTCTTCAAGTGGGGAGGGCCCTCAACCCTGATGCAAAACTCAGAAACCACCAAGACAAAGAAATCCAACGACAGAAAACCCATGCAGCTGAACCGAGGTGTCTGTGCGCCAGGCCGGCTCATCCAACTGCACAGCTCACCCCAAGGGACCAGCAACCCAGCAAGAACAAACTCACTCTCAGGAAAGGAGAACGACAGGACTGGTTTGTTTTCTGGCATTAGGGATTCAACCCAGGGCCTTCGCACTGAACTACATCCCCAGCCCTTTTTTATTCTGGGATAGCTTCTTGCTGTATTTCCCAAGCTGGGCCTGAACTTGAGATCTTCCTGCCTCAGCCTCCCAGAATGCTGGGACTATAGGTGTACAGCATCAGACTGAGATATGAATTCTTAACTAAGAGAAAGTGCTCTGTCATCGCTCACCTCTAGGAAAGCTGTTAGTGGGAACTACGACCTGCCTTTCCCTGCAGCTCAGCGAAGATCTAACATTGGCAGCACCCGGGGTGGGCAAGAGTGTGGGGAGCCAACCACACCAGCCCCAGAGACAGCAGCTCTGCAGCCTGGGCCTCGAGTGCAGGAGCCCCCTCCCGCAGCTCCGCCTCTGGACGACAACTCACAGGACCTCTGTGGTACACAGCAGGGCACGGGAACAGAGCAGCCCGATGTCCTGGGCGGGACTCTGCCAGCGCCCACACTCCCAGCAGCATGTGCATGGAGAGGAGGAGGCTGGGCCCAGGGCACTGCAGCATGAAGAAAACCAAGTTTTCCAGAACGTGGAGGGTGGGCACACGGTGCGGTCATGCCGGGAGCACTGACCAGGGAGAGGCGCTCAGGCCGAGCACAGCCTGGCGGCAGAGCGGTTCAGCAGGGAGGACCAGGGTTCACGCTCCACACCAGACACACTGGCACGCACATGCGTGCTCACCACACACTTGCATGTGCACACGCTCGGCTGGCTCTGGGAAGAACAGGAGCCCAAGGCACCCAAGCAGGCAGAGGGGTGAGGCGGGGTGGGGGCGCCCGCGCAGGGCTGGGCAGCACGGCCCGAGCAGCAGCCCCAGCACTGGCTCCACACAAGCACCGCGCTGTTCAAAACCTCACAGGACACGGTGACAATCTCCTGGGGCACGGGGTCACCCCAAGATGGCCCGAGCACCCTTCTCCGGCCTCGTGCTGAGTGGGAAGTGGCACCGAGACCAGCCAGTCCGTAGCACTCTCAGAATCTGGGTCAAAGCACGCGAGGACACCACCGGGCTGGGCAGCCCTGCACGCGGGAGACACGACGGGCGGCGGCAGAGCCGCTGCAGAGCTGTGTGCTGCCGTTTTAAGGGTTTGCTTCCAACAGAAGCCTGCGACGCTGTCTCCGAGTGAGAGGTGTGACAAGCTGACATGTGCTGAAGACACAAGGGCATCGTACACGCAGGAAGCCCATGTGACTGCGACAACAGCGGGGACCTGGGAAGAGACGGGCATGCTGGGCTGACATGGGGCACGGGAGCTCTCAGCTCTCCACTGGCAGAATGGAGGGCACTAGGCCCAGGGCAGGGGCCAGAACTAAGAGGTATGCGGCCTGAATGTGGGGACCCCAGGACGGCTGCCAGGAAGACAGGGAGGAAAGGCTGGGAGGCGGCAGCTGAAACCTCGAGACCCAGGAGTCCTCAGGCCTGAGAGGCGCCGTGGATCCTGTGGCACCGAGCCTCAGCACACACAGCCTGAGCATCCTGGCCCAGCAAGGAGAATCGGAGGGCAAGAAAGCAGCAGGCACCCTCGCCAGAAAGGAGAAACTGAGGCACTGACCCTGGGGGAGACTTCCATCCCCCTCAGCAGTGAGAGGACCAGGGGCGGAGGATCCCAGCAGCACAGGTGGGATGTGCTCAGGCCAAGGCGAATGGTGAATGGCTCTCACATCACATGCATGCTCTCTGAGATAATGGACTCAAATAAAAGATCAACAGAGGACTTCTGGGAAATTCCTGAGTACATGGAAACAAAACACACTCCTGAGTAACCTAATGGGTTAAAAAAATTAGAAAACATTTAGGATTAAAAATACAACAAATCAGCCAGGCATGGTGGTGCATGGCTGTCATCCCAGCACTCAGGAGGCAGAGGTAGAAGGAACGTCAAGAATTAGAGGCCAGCCTGGGCTACATAGTGAGACCCCGTCTCAAAAAACCAAAACAACAAAAAAAAAACAAAAAAACAAACAAACCCACCCAACTCCCCCGCAAGAAAACCCCCAACAAACCAAATGTTAAGGGATAAATAATGCTTAAGAGCCACATGTGGTGGCACATGCCTATAGTCCCAGCACTGGGGAGGCTGAGGCAGGAAGATTGCTGTGAGTTTGAGGCCATCCTGGACTATATAGTGAGTTGAAGGCCAGCTTGAACTGTAAGCAAAACTCTGTCTTAGGGTCTGGGGATTTAGCTCAGCAGCACAGCACCTGCCTGGCAAGCACAAGGTCGTGAGTTCGATTCCTGGTACCAGAAAAAAAAAAACCAAAAA